ATTTCAATTTATCGCCAATGCCACAATTTCAGTAGTGATGAATTAGCACATATATTTGTAGAAGAATTTGGAGCATGTAAGACTTTTAAACAGCCTCAATTTTGCGGCAACATAAAACTGCTGTTGAGACTAAAACATTTTGTTAAACACCTTAAGGTCAAGGTCCCGGGGAAAGTATCAGCACTCTTGGAATGGCACCATTGGAATTGATATTGAAAGCGGAATCTCGAAACTGAACCGGCAGCCCAAATTTCAAACCAAGAACACATACAAATATTAGAGGAAACCTTAAAATCCACAACCATATATATATTAATAATAAGGTTAAATAGTAACATTCTAAGTCAGTTATGTAAAACTCAAAAACAAAAATTGCTACAAAGATGTATAAACCATTTATGGCGGAACATTATTACAGTGAATAATTTACAGTTCTTTTAATTAAAATAAGAAAATATTCCACGAATAATTTAAATTCATCTGCGAGGGAGCATATAATGATATCAATCAATAAGCTCTGACATTTAAGTTAGAATACGAATATTTAAGGCAAGTGTCCTATCGGGATTGGTTTGGTAGTTAAGAATGTTCGCTCCTTTCATTGACTTTCTGGATTCAAAGTTCAAACCACCTTAAGATCATCTATCACATTTGTGACTTATTGAAATATTAGATTTGTAGGGTATTCAATAAATCCTGAAATTAATTAAGATGTACATAAGTTGACCCGAATAATCCGGTTATTAAAAAAAAAAAGAGAAAAAAAAAAATACAAATATTGGCTATTGGCTAGACCTTTGAAATAGGCTGAATTGGTATAAATAAGTATACTTTACATTGACACAATTATTAAACAAAATGTAGGCTTGACTTAAAAACGACTTAAACAAGGGGTTTGTGGACTAAAATTAATATGTTAAAATGTGACAGATGAAAAAGAATATGCTGTCAACCACTATCTCTTAAAGGTGACAAATTAAATCAAATCATAATTCAGTCAACACACTAATCAATTACTCATCAACCCTTCAATTAATTCTTGATAATTACTATCCAATTAATATTAACTTCAACATTAAGCATGCCACTCATTAATCACTTACCAAGTTACTTTCATTATTTGTTCAACCAACATATTTTTTCTCTCCATAAACCCTTAAAATTTCTTGATTTTTATATTATTAACAAAAATTTATGATTATTCATTTACAATAATCCAATAGTCAAAAAGGTTCTAAATTTGTATTTAAAATTAATAATATTTTTAACTATTTTTTTAAAGTTAATTGCACAAACCTTCCCCAAGGTTTTAACATTTCACAGGTCCATAGAAAAGATAATTATGTTAACACAGACACCTCAATCCATTAACTTCCGTTAGGGTTCCATTAACTGAAAAGATCCTTACACCCTCATAAAACATAAAAGCCTAACAATTGCCCCCACTAAATATTTTGTAAAGTGAAAATATAAAAACTAAGAAAAAATTAAAATATATTTTTATTGAAAAGTTTTTACAATGAGGTCATCGATTCCAGCACTCTAAGAATGTTGGCTCCAGCCATCTCTATAAAATCTTAACTACAATTTATTTTTAAAATTTTATTCTAAATACTTTTTATTATTTTGAAATATTTAATTTATAGTTCTGTATTTTAACATAAAAAAAAACTATTTTGCCCTTCTCTCGGTTAACTTTAACACCAAAAATTGACTGTAGGAGATATAAATACAATCAAAATCTTTTATTTTTCAATTTACCAAAAAAAAAAAAATTTAAGTTTTTTTTTTTTAATTTTACAAACCATTGTAATTTTTGGTTTCGTATTTTTTACTTACAAACAAAATATTTAAAAAATTATGTTTCAATTTTTTTAAATTTAAAAAAAAAATTTAGTCTACAAGCAAAATGTTAAAAAGTTTTCAGTTAATTAGGGCAATTATCAGGTTTTTATGTTTGAGGGAGTGTAAGAAATTTTTTGGTTAATGGAACCCTAACGGAAATTAATGGAGCAAAATGTCTATGTTAACCTAATTATTTATTCTACAACTTGAGAAATGTTGAAACCTCAGGGGAGGTCAATGTATTTAACTCATTTTCAAAACTATTGAATTACAATAATATTAATTGTAAATTTGCCTCAATAATTTAAAGGAAAAAATTCAAATTGCTCTAGTATTAACTATAAATAAAAACAAATTCTCCTTATTGTAATATTTTAGTAGCTTTTTTTTTTTTTCGATTTCAAGTGGAGATTATGTAAATCAATAATAATAAAAAAATAAAAAATAAAAAACTTTATATTGTCCAATTGGGTAACATCAGAAGAGTATACCATATCATTATTAATTTAATACAATCATTAAACCCATGGCCATGGGTTTCCAATAATGAGATTAAGAATATAATGAGTAATGACAATTTAGGTTCCTTAATTAAGAATTTGGTTTCGATCAGACATTCCTTAACTAAGATTAAGAAAATAATGAGTGGAGAAGGACATTTTCCCACCGAGGGTTTGGTGAAACACTTTCCCACCCATTAAGTTTTAAAATGACACTTTCCCACCCTTCATCAAGTTTTGTTAGTGTTTTTGTTAATATTTGGCTAAAAGATAAAAATACCCTTAAATAGTTTATTTTTTAATTAGTTTATTATAAATTAAAATTTAGTTAAGTCAAAGTCTTTACTCAAGTATAAAGACACATTTTTTTCTTTATTTATTTAATTAATTAGGAATATTAACTATTAAGATTTTCTATGTTAATTAGTGAAAATTAAAAACATTATATTAATAGATTATTGAATAACAGTGATGAGATATTTATGATATTATAAATAAATATGAAGGTCATTTAACTTTAAACAATTTCATAATATTACTTTTAACTTTTTAATTGGGGTGAACTGTTTTTTTTTTTTTTTTTTATAACTTTTTAATGTCTTACTTTTTGGCTAAATCAAAAATTAAAAAAAAAATTATAAAGTTAAATATTTAAAAACATTTTCGTCTTTTCAACACATAATATTAATATACAATAAAACTTGATGAAGGGTGCGAAAGCGTCATTTTGCCAAACCTGGGGTGAGAAAATGTCGTTTTCCAATAATGAGACTTTACATTTCTTGTGATCATAATTGGAATTCCCCATTCCCCAATGCATAAGGTACCGGCATGTTTCCCGGGTCCTCGATTGGATCGAACTTGGCGGCTTTTGTCTCTTAACGGACCATCCGAATTACCGGGTCAGGCCCGTATCACTGCTTTGTTAAACTGAGCACAGGAGGTTAATTCTGTAAAAACATGTTTCCGCGTGCTTGCCATTAATGATTGTGACGGATCTATCTTTTTCCAGATTTTGCATTTGTGTCCTTTTACTTTGTTTTATTTTCTTTACACCGTTAATTTATGAAATCTTTTCAATCAAAGGCAAAAGGTCATATTAGAGAGGTTTTTTTTTTTTTTTTTTTAAATAATAATTGTGTTGATCATTAAAAATAATCAGTCCCAACTCTTTTTTTTTTTTTTTTTTCTTTGTAGAAAAAGAATTTAAGATGATTTGTTAAAAATTATACATTTTATAAGCTTTTACCATCTAAATATTGAAATAATCGATAAAAATATTGCTCATCAAACGAGATAGGATTTGTTTAAAGCATTTGACCCTTCTTTAGAAAAAAAAAAAAAAATAAAGTATCTTATTGGAGTTCTACATGGTGCGTTTGTAATTGAGGAATGAATCTTAGTGACTACAATTATATCTGCAATAATTTTTGGAATACTTAATTTCTTGGTAAAACCTTTCTACATAGCTATATTTTGATATAAAAAATAAAAAAACCTGGTGCTAATTTGTATCAAGAAGATATTATAATCACCTATAGAATTGTATTTTTATATTATAAACCATTAAAACCTAAAATATATAATACAGTTAAGATCTTTTCTTGACATGAGTTTTTTACTGAAATAAATGTTAATATACGTCGATAATAAATAAAAAGAAAAAAAATAAATATCAACCACACATAATTAAAAATAGACATGTGACGATAGAGAGTTTAAAATCGAAGATAAACCCTAATTTATATAATACATGCATATTGTAGACAAAGTGTAAAAGACATCAAATTTGACAAATAACTTTATAATAAGCAAAGTTAGGGTATAACCAAAGAATAGTAAATATTGCATTTAGATTATTACATAATATTGCAAAGTTAGCTTTTTGAAAAAGACTTAAAGTCAATCTTCAAAATTCACACTCTAAAAGTGAAACTCCGACTACTTTTTCCACTAACTTCTTTATAATTATAAGTAATACTTCATCCACACGCATTTACTTTTGGTCACACCCACCAAACCATTTTTCTCATGCTCTTAACCTTATCTTATCCTCCTGTTCCTTTGCCAACACAATTATGGTCTTGAATTGACTTACCACCTCAATAAACACTTCCAACAAGTTATCTGAGTAATAAAATAAGACTTTCAGAAGACTTGTTAACAACAAATTTTAGGTTCAAATTAATTTATTCAATGTGTTACACGCGGGTTATTATATATGACTTTTCGTGTTCAAATTTATCTAAAGTATAACATGTTGATAATTGCATACAACTATGATTTTATACAATATATTTTAGATGACTTTAAAGGTCATTGAAAAATGGGCTTTTTTTCTCAACTAAATTTTATGTTTGAGTAAAATAGTATGATAAATCACGTACATGTAACTGATACATAAAATATATAGCATTTAAAGTTAGTATTTATGTGTAGATAAGAATGAAATCTAAGGGAAGTTTTAGGGTTGAGAGTTTCAGATTCTCTTCCTTGATCATTGCTAGTTATGGAGATTTTTATGTGTGAAGTGAAAAAAGAAAATAAAAATGGGAAAAAGAAAGAAGACAAAGCAAGATGGGTTGATAAGAAAATATGAGAAACTAAAGGGGGTTGAGAAAGATAAGCAGCACTGAGATATTATTAATCTTTAATTTCACTCGTTTTTGCTCTTCTTTTCTACCAATTTTCTGCTTTCTGCCCCCATGTGGCTCTAGCTTCTCTTCACTCGCCTCCTCTCCCTCTTCTCTCTCATAATTCATTCATTTCTCAAAGATTCCAACCTTTTCCAGCTTCACTATCTCTTAATGTGATCAGTAAGTGCTTCTTTTAATATATTATATTACTATTCTTTTTTTTTTTTTTTTTTATGGATTGATGGATGTTGAAATGGGATTGTATGTTCTGTGAAATTGGACAGAAGGGTTGTTTTTGTTTTTAGTTTTGGTTTTCTGGGTTATTGATTGATTGTTAATGTCTTTGTTGATGAATAAATGGTGATAGGATTATGTCATTTTCGTTTCTGCTTTAGCATGTATATTCATGAGTTTTTTTTGCGACAAAAAACGTCTCCAGTATTCTTGTGAGTTTTGCTCTTTTTCTTTTCTTTTTTGTTTTTCTTCTTAATTCTCAGTTTGGGTATAACGAATTGTTATCCAAACAAAATGTTGACAGTAGATGTTATGCTTTTTTTTTTTTTTGAAAGATGTTCTGTTCAACTAGTTGAGTAAAGGTGGGATCTGTTTTCGGATCCTGGAATTATCAAAAATAAATTTTCATGTTCTAATTTGTAACATTTCCTGGATTTCTGAGGGATTTGTAGGAGATCAAGTTCATTTGTTATTTATATTCTTTTCAAGTTTCAAATTTTGGAATACTTTTGATGGTAAAGGTGCTTTCACAATTTTTTATGAGTCATAGTAAGTTGATTGCTAATGGATTTTGACCAAGAGGGTCAATTTTGGCTAATTAATTTATGTTTTTGGTTATTTATAGAGTTTCTTGGGGTGAAAGATGGTTGCAGAGTCTTGGTTTCGCAATTTGTGGAAAATTCCTCGAAAGCATGAAGGCGGTCCTCTGAAAGAGGTGATTGGAGTATTAGCCTTTGAAGTTGCCAGCTTGATGTCTAAGTTGGTTTATCTTTGGCAATCGTTGAGTGATAAGCAGGTTGCCAGGTTGAGAGAGGAGATTATGAATTCTGTGGGTATAAAAAAGCTTGTGTCGGAGGATGAAGAGTTCATTGTGAATTTAATACGTTTAGAGCTGATAGAGAATTTGACCCATGTGGCAAAATCTGTGGCCAGGCTTGGGAAGAAGTGTAATCATCCTGGTTTGAAGAGTTTTGAGAATGCTTACGAAGAATTGATCAAGATTGGTGCCGACCCATTTGGATGGGGTTTTACATTGAAGAAGATGGAAAAGAAAGTTAAGAAGATGGAACGTTTCATTTCGATAAACGCCACTTTGTACCAAGAGATGGAAATGCTTTCGGATCACAAACAGACTCTCAAGAGAATGAAGGGTAATGATAGTGACTTAGAGGATTTGCTTCAGTTTCAAAGGAAGGTTGCATGGAAGGAGCAGGAGGTGAAGAATCTGAGGGAGATCTCTCTTTGGAACAAAACCTATGATTATACAGTTCTCCTTTTGGCAAGATCACTATTCACATTATTTTGTAGGATCAAAGATGTCTTTGGAATCAACTCAAGTGTAGATGTTGATGATTCTAGGGATTTCACTTCTGATTATATAAACCGCAGCCACTCAGTTTCTGCATTAATGCAATCTTCAGTTCATCCATCCGATAATTCTGGCATTGCTAGATTTTCTTCGGGTCCCCTTGGAATGTTTACTAGTAACGCAGGCCCAAATTCAAAACCTAAAAATATGAATAATTACCATTCAGATCCTCTTATTGCTGCAAGCACAAAATCAGGTGCTCTTATTGCCGCAAGCACAAAATCAGGTCCTCTTTCTGGAAAGAATAACACTGTCAACTTCTATTCAGGTCCCCTTGGTCGATCAACTGCAAAATCGGGTCCAATTTTTGGGAAGGATACTAAAAGTGGCAAGAAGATGTGGAAGATTCGTGACATGTCACTTGGCTTTAGTGGGAAGAAACCACCAACTAAAACCAACCGGTTGACTCAAGTGGGACCATTCAAAGGATGCATGATGGCTGCTGATGGTTCTTCTGTCGCCAATTGTTATTCAAATCCAGGTGCTGTTCATTTTGGAATTCTCAATGGAGCCAAAGATGGCAGTGTAGATCGCCTACGTCAGGGAAACACAGTTTATGCTAAATTTTCGGTCTTAAATTGCAAGGGCAGGCTGTTGGATGCTCCTCCTGAAACTCTTGGTGCTGCTGCTTTAGCTTTGCACTATGCAAATGTAATTATTGTCATTGAGAAGCTAGTGGTATCCCCTCACTTGATTGGTCATGATGCAAGAGAGGACTTGTACAATATGTTACCTGCAAGTCTACGGGCTGCTCTGAGAGCACGATTAAAGCCATACACAAAGAGCTTGGCTACATCAGTTTATGATACTGTGCTTGCAGGAGAGTGGACTACAGCAATGGCGGCGATATTGGAATGGTTGGCTCCACTTGCTCATAATATGATAAGATGGCAATCTGAGCGGAGCTTTGAGCAGCAGAACTTAATTTCCAGGACAAATGTTCTTCTAGTACAAACCCTCTACTTTGCGAATCAAGAAAAGACAGAAGCAACAATCACTGAGCTTCTTGTTGGCCTTAATTATGTGTGGAGATTCGGTAGAGAAGTCAATGCAAAAGCTTTGCAGGAGTGTACTAGCGGTAGAATATTTGATGAATGCGTGGGTTTGGATGGGTAAATTATTCTCTGGTTGTGGTAATCACAGATACAAATCACATTTGCCTAAAAAATTCACTGGCTTTAGGGGTCATATGGTTGCGAACATTCCATCTCCTGGCTAGTCCATTGAGCTTTCCATTATAACTGCAGCGTAGGTTAAAGCCATTCACACACTACCGGAGTTCTTGATACTGAAAGGCACTCTTGGTGAGTTGAAGATATAGTTTGAAATTTAAAAAGTATTGTCTTTGGTGAGCAATGATGATGTTTTTTCTATCTGCCATTATCGGCTTCTCTATTTGCTTCCTCATAAAGTAGTAGTCTATGCTTTGATTAAGGTATCATTCGATGATGAAATTTGTATATTTATAAGCCATATACTTTTATATTAAGTGTAAATCATCCATGTTAGGCTTTTTATTCATGTACTCATGGTTGAGAATGCATGTTTCTAAATAGCTTTGCTTCTATAAATGCAACTATATGAGTTTTGCGCCGCATTTTGCTTAGAACCTGAAGATGATGTAAATCGGTTTGCAGAAGCAAGATCTCAGCTTTTATTCTGCTTTAAACCTTTATATAGGCTTAGCATGTAATAATTTGAAGGGATGCCCCCTCTACTTTTGACTACTCAAGCTATGTTGAAGAGACAATTATCACGCTTACAAACGTATCTGGGCGGGATTACATATATGATTTGTTACCATATATTGTAATCATTGTTCATTTGCAAGAAGAATATACAACTCTTTGTGGACTTTTGGAATTCTGAATATTTGTTTAAGCGATACAAATTACTTTGAAAAGGCAGGGGCATTTACGCCATTGAATCGGTAACCATCTTTCCACTAACCTGTTTCAGCTGAGTGCTCATGTATGTGATTCCATAATGTTATTGGAGCAGTGTAAATGGTTGAATTGAAAGTGCTTTTTGACTGTCAATCCAAGTTGGATTTGATAGTGCTTTTTTGACTGGTGGAATTGTTAATGGCAGCAATGTAGATTGTAGTAGGATTGAGAGTGTGATTTGATTGTGAATTGAATGGTTATATCGGTCCAGTTATGAAAGCAGTAATGAATTCGTCCCATTAAATGTGTCATTAAGTTAATGTTGGTTATACTGTGGTATTGGGGTTGGGGTACAGTTGCCCATTTTGTACCCATGACATTGAATGGGCTCCATGTCAATGTGCCCTTCTGTTCATCACTTTTGGGCGTAGATTTTAATGGTACAAATTAACCACCCACCATACCAATTTTCATAACTTATTGTCCAATGTTAGTATAATATAAAGATGGGAAAGATTACTATGCATTGCTATTTGCGGGTATGGACCCGTAACACCATTATCTGTACTTGGCTCACCCGTTGTTTTCACAGGTGGGTCGGGTGATACTCGCGGGTACACCACAAATAAAAAAAAAAAAATGATATAGGTGTGGAATAATATATTGATCTTCTTTTTGCTTCCTCTTCGTATCGGTGCCGGTAATGATCGGCTGTGGTTGCCAAAATGGCTCCGATGAAAGAAGCAGCGAGGATGCGAGAGATGATAATCTTGTCATTGCCATCATCTAATCAAAGTTGAATAGAGATTAATTAAGTTTAAAAAAAAAAGGGAGAAAATGAATTTATATTATGAGCTAGAAAGCTTACCAAGCTCCATCTTAATTTCTTCCAAATTCAGAAAATCTGATCTCTCTGGAAATGGAATCGAACTTTGTTGAGCTTTGATGAAGGGAGGGCGACAAGATAAATCTACACATTTTGTTGCTGCTTGACGCTGACTTGTGGGGTCATTTTTTATATTTTTATATATACGGATAATAAAATGTACTCCTTCAACTTAAAGTCCCAAAAATATCACTTTCATCCCTTTGTTTCTTTTAAAACATATTTGGAGTACGCATGATGATGAATCTTCTACAGAACTTTGAAAAAGTAAAAGGGCTATTCTTAAGCTCTGCACCATATAAACGAAATGTACAGAAAAATTAATATTATATGTCGGCGGTTGAAATTTGTGAGAATAAAGAATGATATTTGAGTTGTTAATTATATTTAACTAACATAACTAGCACAAAATAAGAAAATAAGAAATTGAAATAGGTGTGGAAACAGGTGATCCGTGGGTCCACTCATGCCCGCATGACCGAATAACAGTGGAGTAAATTATACCAACAACTATTTGTAGGATTTATACAAGATTTATGTGGAACTTATTATGAATTGACCAATTATGAGTTATCACGTTAGAGTTGTGAAAGATGGTTGGTATAGTATTATCCATACAAGTGGTATATTCTTTTACCCGATAATAATTTCTATCCATTTGACCTGTATCTGTAGTTACTCGACCCATATCCATCGGCCTGCCTGTTTGCCAAGTCTACTTGTGTCTATGACCGTTGGTGTACATTATAACAATCGTCTTAAAATAATATAACATATATTTTATTTTATATAGTGTCAAATGTTATTAGCATTCATTTTCATTGTTTGATAATATCTCAAAAGTGCTTATAAGATTACAAATAAGTTATTTTGATTTTTTTATAATCTCTTTTTGAGCTTATTTTAAGTTTTGAAATTTAAAAAATATCTTCATTCTGTTTTATAAATTTAATTTGATTTAGTTTTATATATTAATTTTTTTTTTGATAAATTAATACTAAAAAGACTCTTTTATATACTTTTAATAAAAAAGTTAATAAATTTTTTATACAATTTATTTACATATACCCTATTCTAATAAACTCTACTTTTTCAGGCTTTATTCGAATAAACTATAATAAATGAACCTTACTTAAATAAATGGGTATATAAATGAGTTGGATCTTATTGTTTATCCATAAAGAGGGAGTTGGGGAAACTATAATAAGTATGAAGTATATCACTCTGACTTTAATATAAATCTCTTAAAATTGATAATTTAGATTAAATTTGATGTCTCATATCTCAAAAAATCAAAGATATTGTGTCTCAATAATTTATCATTTTAGTACAAATAATAAAAGACATTAAGTGGGTCACATGTGTTCACTATTTTTTTTTACAAATAATTAGAGAATCTTTGCAAACTTCAAAAAATCAACATGGAGAATTCAAATAGTAATATTAATGATTAGAAAAAAGTTGGTGCAGAAGTCCACAGTTCCACCTCAAAATTCTATAAACTCTGAATGTCCAACACTGAACTGTTTCTATGTATATATAAAGGCTTTCACAACCATAATGAAATTCACATCTCAAAATATACAAATGACACGTGAATAAAACTGTTTATATAATGTTTATGATATAATCTAATTAACAAGGGTAACTCCATAATATTTTAATGTTATCCCATACTACAAATTTTGAAAAGGAAAACAGTTTATTGAGATAAAGTACTGTTAAAACAGAATTTAGAAACCGGAAGCAACCCAATTAAAGAAAAAAAATCAAAGGTTTGAATGTTTTCCATCCAACACATGCTTGTCCTCTTCAGTGGAAGAGAGTGCTTGATTGAAAGATAGCTGAGCTCGGTGGTGGTCGCCGTTGCAGATGGCTGGACATTACCACAAACACTTAGCAAGCAATCAAAATCCAATACTAAAATACATAAACAAAACCTTTGACATCATCTACCCTTCATCCACACATTAACACAAACAGTTAACATGCAGTCTCTTCAACTGCCATATGTCCACGGAATAAACCCATTTTGTAAACGAAGCCAAATTCCAATAAACCAAACATCATTGCTGAGAAAGTCTTGTTCATGAAAGATTCTTCAACTAAAGGCGCGACCATGGCCATTGAAACCAACAGGAAAGAAAGAAAAGAACAAGACGAGGGAAATGAGTGCAAATAAATCGGCCAGTCACCTAACTGCTGCTTGTCTTCACCACAGTCATTCACCGTCGCCTATTCTGAATGGTTCAAAAATGAGAATCTAGCATTTCTTCACCCTTTGCTTCGTCTGTGATCTTCGTGCGACTTATTTTTGGATTCGTGGCGGTGGCTAAGGTATTTCGAAATTGAAATTAGACATGCAAAATTTTTAGGGTTCAAATGATTAAGGGAGACATAAAATGAATAGTTTTTTTTTTATTTTTTTTTATTTTTTTTTTTATTTTGGGTGCTGAATGACGTGGTAATCGGATGATGTGGCAGTTGGGTGTCATTTTGCCAGCTGCCACACAAGAGAGTAAGAGAAGGGAGCAAAATGGGGAGTAAGGCAAGCATCACTCATTAATATTAGAATAATGTTACGGACATCGAAAACTTACACCGAATGATGTGTTACACAGTTACATAGTATATTAACAAGTATTTTGTGAATGAACAGTCATCCATCAAATATGGACGGGTATTTGTGATTATTGGACGACTGTTCACCTATAATGGACGCTTGTCCATGAGAAAATAACAATGGACTCCCGTCTATATAATATGGACGGACCCGTTCATTGTTTAAAATAAAAATCATGGACACCTGTCCATATATTATATGGACAGACGTCCCTTTTTTATAGATGCATGTTTATTGTTTAATTTAAAAAATTTTACATACAATATTTTACTCTCAATCAATATCCAAAAGTAAATGTCGCTATCCTTCGTTAAATTTGTCATCTATATTCAAAGTAATTGGACAAGTCTCATAAAAATATGGGCAAAACTATGCATTGCTTTCATGCTTTTTATTCTTATTAGATCCACCTAATATGCTTTTATTGTCATTACAATTTTGTTAAGACTCTGATTTTTTTTTTAATTTAAACAATAAGGACGCTCGTCTATTGTGATTTTTGTGTAAATTTTTTTAATTTAAATAATAGACAGACGTCCATCTAATAGGGACGCTCTCCCATTCAATAGGGACGCCCATCCATAATATATGGATGGGCGTCCATGATTTTTGTTTTCAAATTTTTTCAATTTAAACTATAGATGGGAGTCCATTATAGGTGACCGACCGTCCAATAATCACGGACGTCCGTCTATATTTGATTAACGATCGTTCATTTACAGAATATTTGTTAATATACTACGTGGCTGTGTGACATGTCATTCGGTATAAAATTTCGATGTAAATCTTCGGTGTCCGTACCATTATTCTTAATATTATGTGTCAGCGGTTGAAATTTGTGAGAATAAAAAATGATATTTGAGTTAGTTTATCATCACACCAAAGTTGTTAATTACATTTAACTAACATAACTAGCACAAAATAAGAAAATAAAAAATTGAAATAGGTGTGGAAACAGGTGACCCATGGGTCCACTCATGCCTGCATGATCGAACACAAGTGGAGTAATATTACACAAACAACCCTTTCTCACAAATTTTCTCTCACAACCCTGACATGACAGCTCGTAATTAATTCGTGAGATCCATGCAGGACTCATGTAGGACCCATTATAAACTGATTAATTGCGAGCTACTACATCAGAGTTGTGAGATAAAGTTTATAAGAGAGGGTTGTTGGTGTAATATTATTCATACAAGTGGTATATTCTTTTACCCGTTAATAATTTCTATCCATTTGACCCGTACCTGTAATTACCCGACCCATGTCCATCGGCCTGCCTGTTTGCCAAGTCTGCTTGTGTCTATGAGAGACTATGACCATTGGTGTACATCATGACAATTGTCTTAAAATAATATAATATATATTTTATTTTATATAGTGTCAAATGTTATTAGCATTCATTTTCACTGTTTGATAATCTCTCAAAAGTGCTTATAAGCTTATAAATAAGTTATTTTGATTTTTTATAATCTCTTTTTGAGCTTATTTTAAGTTTTGAAATTTAAAAAATATCTTCATTCTGTTTTATAAATTTAATTTGATTTAGTTTTATATATTAAAACTTTTTTTGATAAATTAATTCTAAAAGTACTCTTTTATATATTTTTAATAAAGAGTTAATAAATTTTTTATACAAGTTATTTACATATACCCTATTCTAATAAACTCTACTTTTTCAGGCTTTATTCGAATAAACTATAATAAATGAATCTTACTTAAAAAAATGGGTATATAAATGAGTTGGATCTTATAACTTAAAAAGTGGATAGATAATGATTAATCACATTATAATTTAGTTATTTTTCATAGTCGTTAATTGTTCCACCTGTCTTTTACAGGCAACCAAGATAAATATAGTTGTTCGAATACTGTATGATTATAGTAAATAGTGAAAATTTTAGACTTTTAATTAATTGAATGTCATTTTGATTAGTATAGATATTTAAGGATAATGATCTTGATTTAAATGTTTAATTAAGAAATTAATATGATCTTCTTTTATCTTAATAATAAAACATATTTATTGTTTATCCATAAAGAGAGAGTTGGGGAAACTATAAGTATGAAGTATATCACTCTGGCTTTAATATAAATATCATAAAATTGATAATTTAGATTAAATTTGATGTCTCACTCATATCTCAAAAAATCAAAGATATTGTGTCTCAATAATTTATCATTTTAGTACAAATAATAAAAGACATTAAGTGGGTCACATGTGTTTACTCTTTTTTACAAATAATTAGAGAATCTTTGCAAACTTCCATTTTACAATAAGACAACTTATCACATGTTCACCATTCACCAAACACATTTAATACTAACACGTCAGATTTTTTCTTTTTTAAATTCAGATATTAAAAATTAATTTTAGTCGGTACTATTTTAAACAAATAAACACATCTTTCTTAAATATTTAATTTATAAAATTAATAATTAAGTAATACTAGTTTTATAAAGACACATACAAAAAGACCCGACCTTTAATTTTCATGATTTCTCTCTTTCTCTCTTTTTCCGTTTTTTCTTTATTTTTTTCTTCTTAATGATGTCACTTTGTAACCCTCTTTGTATAGGTATTTGTAAGAATAATATTTTTCTTAATAATTTAGTTTCGTTTGGTTACTAGTTAGAGTAAAACTTATAGAATAAGAGTTTATTAGTGTAATATTTATAAAGAATTTGTTACTCGTTTGATTAGAAAAAATATAAATTTTTTTTTATTATTAATTACTAAAAAAAATTATAATATACAAAAACAAATCAAATCAAAACTCATAAAATAAAATAAAGATATATTTGAAATTTTAACACTTTAATAAATTCAACCCATGCCATAAAATGATTTATTTAAAATTTTATTTTAAAGTATAAACATATATATAAAGTCTTCTTTCAAATATGTATATACCAAGTATAAAATGATGCGGCATGAAATATATCCTTCATTTTCAATTACAATTAATAAGTTTGGTTTATATTTACTCTATCATTTACTTTTAATGGAATTATTTTGTATGCATACTGTTGTAAGAATATCTTGTTATGTAATATTATATTTTATTTATACATATCTTATCAGTTATCACCCGTAATTTAATTTTATAATTTATATAATAAATAAATTGTTGGTGTTTCTGACTTTCTCTCTGGGTCATGTGGCTAAAAGCCTACACAGATCGCGAGTTGAGTCGAGTCGCTACGTTTCCTTTGAACGGTAGGTACGTTACTTCATGTCTCTTTCTCTCTTAAATTTTAATTCAATTTATAAATTGTTTAAAAAAAAAAAAAACAATCGAATTTACGATTTTCCTCCTTCTCTCCTCTTCGCTTCTCTGTAGCTAATGCATGGCAGCGCCCAAGCCAAGGTCAAGTCGGTCAACCTCTCTTCGCGACTCCATGGAGTCCGAGAAGCTCGAAAGCACTACCAGCTGGGACGCTCTCGAATGGACCAAAGTCGAGGTTCGCTTTCTTCTCTTTCAATTCTAGGGATTTTTTTTAAAAATTTTTTTTTTAATTGTGTTTAATTATTGATAGTCGGTGACGCGGACGGTCTCGCATGCTTATCTTGATATATTGCTCGAGGCTGAGCAAGTTGTAGTTGAGGTACGCTGTAGCCAGGCAATGGAGTTTTATTTCCTTCTACCGTTATTGTACTGGCCCTGTAATGTTGCTGTTATTACTGATATGTGAGCATTTATCAATGTGTTTGTGGTTGATTTTACATTTGAATCTTTTTTTTTTGGTTGTGTGTGTGTGTGTGTGTGTGAACTGCCTGTTGACTTTCCTGTAAATCGAGTGGTCATACATATAACTGGTTTTGTACTGTTTCTTATAAAAAATAATGTTTTGCTGATCAGTAATCTATTCTTTTTGTATCTTGAATACTTGTTATTGGTTTATTGAAGTGTATAAATGAGGTTGAGTTTATGGATTTTTTGAGCTCTGTTTTCAGGGATATGGTGTTGTTCTTGTTAATACTGATGAGGCCGGTACTTTGATAGTGACGAATTATCGTATTCTGTTTTTGGTAAGTGCTTCATGAAAATTTTCTGCTAAGCTTATACGTGCTTTATGTCCGTGGATTTAATTGTTTTGATAAGCATTGCATATTTTTACGCTGGAAGTAATTGTACATCTTTACTTTGATACTTTTTGGGTATCGTATCGCTTATATAAACAGGTTTATATAAAAGAGCACATGGGGTGTGTAATAGCTGCAAAGCAAGTAGAATATCTTATTTCTTTTTAGAAATAATTAGAAATTTATTTTTGTGTATATGTGTTATTTGTATTTCTTGGATTTCTGGGATGTCCATGTTTGTGTCCAATCAGTTTCGGACTTTCAGTTTGATGTACACTGCAGCAATAATGTGTCGAAACCTAAACCTTAAATCACTGTATGGACCTGCACAACACTAATTTACATGTTTTTGTCATATTAGTGTTTGCTTTTGTGGTCGTAGTGTTGTGAGTTTGTGATAAAAGGCTGTGATTACAAAATGGACAGGTTATGTATTGTTTGGTTACATAACAATAATCTCCATGGTTTGAAGGATGTAGGAATTGATTCTGTAGATGTTTATCTTGATCTATTATCTGTTAGGTATCTATATAATTAATCGATACTTTATCTTACCTTTTACAAGAGTGAGGGAACCAGAGATATTATAGCACTTGGCACTATACCACTAGCAACTATTGAGAAGTTTAGCAAAACGGTAAGCTTTTAATAACCTTTTTCCCATTGATCTTCCTAGTGATTATTTGTATACATATTGTGGCAAGTTTTGGAGGTATCTTCATTTTTAAAGAGTTATCAAATATTTAATGGATTGATAATTCAATATTTTGCGTTCATCTTTAGATTTATGTTTTTTTAAGTGAGTATTTTGTTTGTTTATGTTAAAAGCTTTGAGGGGTCTATGTAGGTTGCAAAGATTCAATCAGCTCCTCGTCACACTGACAAGTCTCCATCTCGGCGACTTCTCCAAGTCATTGGTATGCTTTTTAAGAATTATCTTTTGTTGAACCGTATTGATCTCACTTATTTTCTTCACTGATGTCTCTTTGTACTAAGTAATGGGAACCATTGAAGGTCTAGTTTGTTTGATAGGATTTGGTGTATTATGAGGATACATATTAAATTAAATAGACTGTCATCGTATGTAGATATATTGTGTATGTTCAATTGATACTACCTTTTGATTTTTAATTGTTTAACTGCATTGATGTTTCTTAATAGGACATAATGGCAAAATTATCGCGTTTAACTCTAATTGTCAAACATCTTTGAGGACTATGTTTCTGTTGGCTGGTGTATCACCTAGAAGCTGTCTTTAATCCCAATGGCTGCGCTTAGTGGTAAAAAGTCCTTGACCTCTACTAAGAGTACAAGGATTCAAATCTCCTTGGGATCACCTACTTTGCATATTATATCTCATAAGTTTCCAGAGGACCAAATTTGTAATGTTTGGAAGTAGCCTTTAGTTTAGAGCTCACTGAACATGTGGGGAAGGTTGAGTCATTTGTGGTTATAAAAGAAAAAGGTTCCAAAGCTCTCTCAGTGTGTTTTTCGTTTTAACGTGTGACTCTGTGCAGCTTCCCATATTTATAGCTTCTCTATATCAAACTTATAGTTTCATTTGCAGCTGCTGAATGATCTAGTTGATTATGGATTCTGTGGTTTTTAGCCTTGATTATTGTGGTGTATTAAAGTCACTCTGATACTATTTCTCTAAATTTTTGTATACTTAGCAGTCTTGTATGTTTTGTTGAAGCTAAAATCAAATTATTCTTTTATACTGTGTAAAAGTTAATAATATAAGTGGTTCTTCTTTGTACATATAGTAATCTTTCCTCTTATTTTCTGCAGGTAAAGATATGAGAATTATTGTCTTTGGTTTCCGCCCAAGAACAAAGCAGGTCAATTTTCCTATGTGAAAAAAAATTTGAATAATATCGTAAAGACAAGTGATAAATGGGAGGAAAGATTTTGCAAAAAAAATTTTAATACATCGGCTCCCAAAATTTTTGAAAAAATATGCTTTGATATTATTATTATTTGAACATTTATTTGTTATCATTCTTTTTTATTTATGTCCTTGTTTTTTATTGTCATGTGTAGTTATCAAATTCAATTATTGATTTTACAGAGGCGTGCTGTATATGATGCATTAGTGAGGTGTACAAAACCAACAAGAATATGGGATATTTATGCATTTGTTTCTGGGCCTTCCAAATACAGTAATACTAACCCTAAGGTGCGGTTGCTAAATGAGTATTTCCGTCTTCTTGGAAGAAGCTCTTATTGTGCATCGATGGATATGATTGAAGATGGATCATACAGAATCTCTAATGAGTTGTGGAGAATAACTGATGTAAATTCCACCTACTCATTGTGCCAGAGTTATCCATTTGCTTTGATTATTCCAAAAAGCATTAGGTGAGAAATTACCATTCAGTCCAGTATTTTTCGTCCTTGATATTTCAAGGTTTACTTTTTATTTATGCAGTTTACTTTTTATGTATACTTGATCTATAGAACTAAATACTTTGCTTAATAATTGTTTGTAGTGATCAAGAAGTGCTCCAGGGTTCCTCCTTTCGTGCAAGGTGTCGGTTGCCTGTAATTTCATGGTGTCATCCAGGTGAATCTAATTTGTGTTTAGATTCTTTGTTGTGATTTTGTTATTTATGCCTTGATATATTTGGTGAATAATAGGAACGGGAGCAGTCCTTGCACGTTCATCTCAACCGCTAGTTGGTCTTATGATGAATATGAGGAGGTATCAAAGTTCCCACTTAAGACTCTCCATGCGATGCCATAAAGAACACTTACTGGACTGCATACTATATGCTGATTATTTTTTTGAAAATATTCACTTTTGAGGATTTACGTTTATGTACTCTTTACATTTTATACAGTAATGCTGATGAAAAGCTCGTTGCTGCCCTTTGCACTCAACTTGCTAGTCGAGGGGTGGCACGGAGGTACTCCTGTTCAATTTTTCCTGCTTTTAGTTTATTATTTTTCATTGTGTTATTTCTTTTTGTTGTTTGTTTCCTTTCTCACATATGTCGTGTAATGAGACAGATTCTTTTTTTTTTTTCTGAATAATTTGTTTCTTTGTTACTTATGTTAATTGTCTTTCCTTACAGGAAGCTATATATTGCTGATGCAAGACCAAGAAAAAATGCTTTGGCAAATGGGGCAATGGGAGGTGGCTCAGAGTCTTCTTCACATTATTTTCAATCTGAGGTCTGTCAAAGGTTTGAGCTGTGTCCAATAGTGCATCTATTGGTCATGTATTTTGAAATAATTAACTGTTGCTCATGATGTTCCTTTCGTGATATTTTTTATTAGATAGTATTTTTTGGGATAGACAACATACATGCAATGAGAGAGAGTTTTGCTCGGCTTAGAGACTACTTGGACACTCATGGATCTACATCATCTGATGGGATGTCATCATTCTTGGTTAGTCTTGCGACCTGCAAAGATCTGATTTTCTCTTTTTTTGCTAGGGCTACATTAAATTTACTACGAAGAAAAATTCTCTTTTTGGCAAAGGCTAGAACCTGCTTGACTTTTTTATTTATGGATATCATTAGGAAAAATATCTACTTTACCCTTACTTCACATGTTGAGTTGGGTGCCATCTCATTCTACTTGTTTATTGTACCTTGAACTTGAATCATTAACTTGAGAACTGGATCTATAATGGCTTGAAGTCCTGAATTCTTTTAATTCTTACTATTGGGATATCCTTGAATTATGAGTTTAGGAAAATGGAATCATATAAGTATCTGCTTGCTTTCAAACATATGTTTTGCATTTATTCTGTTTGCTAATTTCATTAACAGAGACATGGTGGTTGGACTTGGGGTGGAGGTAATCTAAGTAGTATGTCTGCTTCAGTTTCAACGCTTGGAGATAGTGGTTGGTTAATACATGTTCAGAGTGTCTTGGCTGGTTCAGCTTGGATTGCTGCTCGTATTGCTTTGGAATCAGCATCTGTGCTTGTACATTGCAGGTCAGAAGTTTGATGTCTTATTATGATTCAGTGATCTGGTTAGGGATATAATATATCAATTTCTAAATGATATTATTAGAAAATGTGAGTCAGTGAAAGCATTTGCCTATAATTTCCAATATGCAAGTTGTGGTCTATCAAGCCATTTCATTTTTTATCAATCCCTTTTTAATCTTAAACCTATGCCATAAGTGTATCTTACTAGTCTGTGTGTTAGTGCTTCCTTTTCAAGCTTTTGTGAAGAGCCAAGTTGACTTGAACTCTCTTTTAACTATTATATTCCATGTTGTAATTTTGCNTTGTTTCTTTGTTACTTATGTTAATTGTCTTTCCTTACAGGAAGCTATATATTGCTGATGCAAGACCAAGAAAAAATGCTTTGGCAAATGGGGCAATGGGAGGTGGCTCAGAGTCTTCTTCACATTATTTTCAATCTGAGGTCTGTCAAAGGTTTGAGCTGTGTCCAATAGTGCATCTATTGGTCATGTATTTTGAAATAATTAACTGTTGCTCATGATGTTCCTTTCGTGATATTTTTTATTAGATAGTATTTTTTGGGATAGACAACATACATGCAATGAGAGAGAGTTTTGCTCGGCTTAGAGACTACTTGGACACTCATGGATCTACATCATCTGATGGGATGTCATCATTCTTGGTTAGTCTTGCGACCTGCAAAGATCTGATTTTCTCTTTTTTTGCTAGTGCTACATTAAATTTACTACGAAGAAAAATTCTCTTTTTGGCAAAGGCTAGAACCTGCTTGACTTTTTTATTTATGGATATCATTAGGAAAAATATCTACTTTACCCTTACTTCACATGTTGAGTTGGGTGCCATCTCATTCTACTTGTTTATTGTGCCTTGAACTTGAATCATTAACTTGAGAACTGGATCTATAATGGCTTGAAGTCCTGAATTCTTTTAATTCTTACTATTGGGATATCCTTGAATTATGAGTTTAGGAAAATGGAATCATATAAGTATCTGCTTGCTTTCAAACATATGTTTTGCATTTATTCTGTTTGCTAATTTCATTAACAGAGACATGGTGGTTGGACTTGGGGTGGAGGCAATCTAAGTAGTATGTCTGCTTCAGTTTCAACGCTTGGAGATAGTGGTTGGTTAATACATGTTCAGAGTGTCTTGGCTGGTTCAGCTTGGATTGCTGCTCGTATTGCTTTGGAATCAGCATCTGTGCTTGTACATTGCAGGTCAGAAGTTTGATGTCTTATTATGATTCAGTGATCTGGTTAGGGATATAATATATCAATTTCTAAATGATATTATTAGAAAATGTGAGTCAGTGAAAGCATTTGCCTATAATTTCCAATATGCAAGTTGTGGTCTATCAAGCCATTTCATTTTTTATCAATCCCTTTTTAATCTTAAACCTATGCCATAAGTGTATCTTACTAGTCTGTGTGTTAGTGCTTCCTTTTCAAGCTTTTGTGAAGAGCCAAGTTGACTTGAACTCTGTGTTAACTATTATATTCCATGTTGTAATTTTGCTATTTAACAAGATGATAAAAAATGTACTTTCAGACGTTTACCCAAAACGCGTGGATTTTTAGTTTTACCTGCATGTAATTTGGTGTTTTAATTTGGCTATTTAACAAGATGATAATACCTTTCAGACTTATACCCAAAACGCTTGGATTTTTAGTTTTACCTGCATGTAATTTGGTGTTTTAACACGTATATGTGCCTTTGTGATGTGCAGTGATGGTTGGGATAGAACAACTCAGTTGGTTTCACTCGCTAATTTGTTGCTTGATCCATACTATCGAACATTCTCTGGGTTTCAGGTAGTATTTTTTTATGTGTAAACTTGACACCCTTATTTTTAGTGTGAATATTTTCTTTTCTCTTCTTACTACCAAGAACCTCTTAAATAAAATACTGTATCCAAGATAATGTGATATTAGAGAGAGAGTTTTTATTTGTTGTGCCACATTTTATGTGGTCCCTTTAATTTTAGCTTTAACGCCTGTCCTGTTTCTCTACTTCTCTTCATTCACTTTATCTGTTTCAGAATTCAAGTATTTGGATTAATTATTGTCTTGCTGCTCAATTTCTTTCAGAGTTGCTTTTCTATCATTCTTCACTGATGTGTTTAGTTGTCCTTGTCCCTTGGGCAATGCATATTATTTATATGTAATTTAAATTTTATTATTTTCATCTTGACACAGGCACTTGTTGAAAAAGATTGGCTAGCGTTTGGTCATCCATTTTCAGATCGTGTGGGAATGCCATCACTGTCTGGAAGTGGCGACATGCCTTTTGAATTATCTAGGCAGTCTTCTACTGGGAGTTTTTCATCATCACCAATGCGCCAGACATCTGGTTCATTCTCGTCTCAAGCTCCAAGTGCTTCTCATGGACAGAACAACTACTCTCCCATATTTTTACAGGTGCTTGTATAATGCTTAGATAATTATTTAGTAATGCAGTAGAATCTTCATTTATATACTATTCTCCCACACATTTCCTGGTGCTTGAATTACTAGTTAGATGTTACTGAGTTAGTAAGAGAGTAGAATCTGGGAAAGGATCCATGGCACCATGCTTTTTACAAGGATTTCTGGTTCGGTAATTCTTTACTGTACATATGCTGTTAGAGACAAGGTGCATTTACTAGAAATTGATTTCCTGCTGGTTCATTGGACAGATGGCAGCCAGAATTACTAGGGGCTTTCTGTGGGCCTTGCATGTGGCCTTTCAATAAGGCATAAAGGGGTATCTGTCTTCTTTAGGCCTTACCTGAGCCAAAAAGTTAATATATGGTTCAAAATACTTTCACAGGCCTGGTTAGGCTCCTTTTATGGTGTTGAAGCAAGATTTTGTTTGCTCAGGCCTTTGACACTTACCAGCATAGTTCTTCTCCGACTTGTAGTTCAGTGGCAAAATATTCCTTTAACATAGTTTCTTGTGATTCAATATTTTTATTAATTACCCATGAGGGGTTGGCTAAGCGGTTAGGCTTGTGGTTTGCTCCCACAAGGTCTCGCTTTTGAGTCCCCTCATGGGCACCTACATGGCCAAAGGCCATTGTTTCCTGCTTCCCAAAGATTGTAGGGTGTGGTGGGAGCTCCGGTTTTGAAATCGGCTTTGCAAAGGGAGGTCGGTAGATTTCTGAATTATGAAAAAAAAAGTAGTATTTTCATAATTGTCAACTTCTAGCCTAAATTTTATCTTTGTCATCTTTTGGTGCTTGTAAATATGAAGCTGAGAAAGGTTTAAGTGTGAAGCTATTTTGCGCCAGTGTCACATGTTACATGTTTCTCTATTGGAAAAAATGAATGATCTGCTGTGTGTATCTGTTTCTGCAGTGGGTTGATTGTGTTTCACAATTGTTGCGGATGTATCCTTCTGCTTTTGAGTTCTCCTCGGTATGTATTCTTCTTCCATCATGAGATGCATTTCTTATTTTCATAGCAAAGCTATCATGGTTTTTTTGATGTGCTGGCTGACTCTGTCATTTTTCCTTTGCATTAGTTGATATGTTATGTCAGAGAAAACCAACTAATGACTTGTCCTCTTTGGTGATTCAGGCTTTTCTGGTGGACTTCTTGGACTGTGTGCTTTCTTGTCGCTTTGGAAACTTCTTGTGCAATAGGTAGTTTTTATGCTCTTCTTTTTCCTTTATTTTTCACTTTACAGGTATTGTTTTTACATGAGTGAGAGTTGGTCATCTTTGTGTTAAGAATGAGTTCCTTGGACGATGGAAAGTATAGTTAATAAGGTCTTATATTCTGTCCGACCAAGCTTAGAGGATGAAAATACTGAGAGAGTGTTTGATGTAATCATTGTGTAGTAATGATACTTGTCAACTTGATGTTTTGTGAAGATTATGGTGTCCAAAGTTGGTAATTATCATTTAACAATTTTAATCTTAACTTTCAGTGAAAAGGAGAGGCAGCAATGTGGTGTCTATGAAGCTTGTGGATGCTTGTGGAAATATTTGGCTGATTTGCGCTCTTCAGAGGAAAGAGCTCATGCACACTATAACCTATTTTATGATCCATTGAAACATAATGGACCACTCTTACCTCCAGCAGCAGCTTTAGCCCCAACTTTGTGGCCCCGATTCCATCTTCGTTGGGCTTGTCCTGCCGAAGCCCAAGCAGGGGAGCTTGATACTCAATTTAGGGACATGACTGTAAAATTCTCTGAACTTAAAAAGGTAAAGAAATTTTACTAGACTCTCTCTTTTTACCCGACTTTATGGCTGTGATGGAAAACATAAAACTCTTTTTGGTTGTGTTTGTTTCACTATTATGAATAGCATCATATCAAATCCTATCCAAAATACATAATTTGTTTCAATATTCTCAAAATCCAATCCTATTCTATTTAACTCAAAATATTTAGATTTTTTTAACCTCCTAAGTTTGTTAATTTAACTAAACACCCTCAAAATAAAAGTTTATAAATTGACAAAAACACTCACATCCATCCACATATTCTCGGCAGTCGGCCACCACTGTCGGAAAGTGGCTGGAATTTATCGGAATGGTGCACGACCGGCTGGATGTGGTTGGTGTGTGTCGATCTGGCCGAAAAAAGTCACATCTATAGCCAAAGATCTGGCCGTTGACGACCAGATTTGACCACATTTGGTCATCAACGATGGCCAAGAAATTGTGGTCTTCAATAGCCAAATCCATGGTGGATTTGGCCAGAAAAAGCCAGATCGGCGTACTACTAGCCAGATCTAGTCGGTAGTACGCTATTCCGGCGACTTCCAACCACCGTCCGATTGTGGTGGTCAGCTGCCGAAATTTAATGGGTGGGTGGGGGTGTTTTTATTAATTTTATAGTTTTTATTGTAGGGGTAGTTTAGTTAAATTAACAAATGTAGGAGATTAAAAAATTAATCTAAATATTTTTCAAAAATTTACCAAACACATTTTCAAATTCAAATCCTATTCTCGTAATAACAGCTTAATTCAACTTTTTTAAAAATACTACTCTAAATATTCTACCAAACACAGCCTTTATTGGCCGTTGGAACCTAAAGGACGGAAGGACATACTGTCATTTTTGTTCGATCATTTCTGTTATCCATGTGGTGAGGAGTCTGTAAATACTCATCTGGTTAGTTATTTTCCTGACAGGCAAAAGAAGTAGCAGAAAAGAAATCTAGAGAAACCGCAACTGCTGTGGAGTTACTAACTGCGGAGTTACGAAACGAAAAGCAGCTCAGAAGCACGACTATGAATTTAGCCAAGAAAGCCAGCAAAGAAAGTGCAGCCATAAAGCGAGCCATTGAAGCATTAGGATGCAAGGTTCATTTTGCTAGCACAGGTGATTGTGCTGTCGGCATTGAAAGCAATCCAACAGAGTGTCAAATGAAAGTGTCTGATGGCACTGTGCAGCACACCGAGATATCTGATTTCTCTGTTTCAGTCACAGTGATGGATGATTCTGTTTCCAGGAACCCAATTGGTCAAGTGTGTGAAGCTTTGTGTCCATTGCGCACACGGGAAGGGGGCTGCAGGTGGCCAGATGCTGGTTGTGCCCAGCTTGGTAGTCAATTTGTCGGACTAAAAGCAAATTTTGATGCATTCGATCGACTCTCTATTTATGATGGTTATTTCCAATCTGAGTGAAATTGAAGAATATTTTGAGCTTAGTATAAGATTGAAGCACTGGCCTTGAAGATCAAAGTTCAAAATCTTAGTCCCAAACGGATTGCAGATTTTTATCCGACTGTTGAAAGCAATGTGGAGGCAGTGCATAAAGATTGACCCTTTTCTGATGGGTCTCGGAGTTGTACAGAGAATATAGAGTTAGCTGTGGACTTGGAACTGGAAAAACTTCAACTGATGCCAAAAGGTCTTCCCAGGTCCATTACATTTTCATATAGTCGAGTATAGCAAATTTTACATTAACATTCTTTTCTTGAATAAAAATCAGCATGTGTACAGGACTGAATAATCGTATATATGACGATTTTTTAATAACATCCATGTACACCAACACTCATTTCAATACAATTTTGCATTCTAAGAAAGTTCTGCCCTGTAAACTTACTGACTTTTATAGATGCTTTCCTACGATGCTATATAGTCGGAACTTGATTAAAACTTCAACTATTTCCTGGTAAATCAGATTGCGTCGTGGTTTCTTTATCCTGTAAGTTGTTGAAACTTGACAATAGATAGCTTCGCATCTGGATTCTGGGTTAATGTTTTTAGTTGACAATGTAAGCACCTCTTTGAAACATCCTAATTACAAATTCAAAGGTGGATTAAGTGATTAAATATAAAGTGGAGAATTAATTAATGTTGCGTGATACGAGTGATCAGATTTCAGACTTCTGGGCAACTTCTGTCAGCAGCAGAGCACGATAAGAAAGAATGTTCCTAATTATCTGAAGACAGAAATACGCATACATTGGATACAGGCAATCCAATGTATAAGGCATTTACATTTTTCATAACAAGGGGGCTGAGAATATGAATATGAATTCTATTCCACTAATAATAATTTTCCAGGCAATCCTAGAGTAGTTATTCGGCTACTTTTCTATTCTAATTTATCATACATTGGATACAAGGTTTCCCAACTTCTCATTTGTACAAAGTGACTGGCTCTAAATCGATGCATTACATAATCCAGAAACAGTGTTCTCATTTAGCACTAGATTATTAACACCCGGCTTCAAGCATCTAAAAGACAACATGGTTCCATCTGCATCAACCCATCCTTCCTGTTTGGTCAATCAAAGTTCCCACTGGATCTCCACTTAGTGCTCTTGAAATATTCCCAGACTCGAGTAAATTAAACACTACCACTACAAAAGATTGTGTAGACAATTTAAGGAAACGCCAAAGGGTTTTGATATGCAAGTATCAACGATTACAATGAAAAATAAAGAAATAAAATACCAACCAGGAATTCTGTTCTCTTCACAGTATGTAACAGCCATTGTGTCCATGGAGGTAAAGTTTCCGGACAGTGCCTCCCTGTAGGATAAGTGTTGCAGAGGTACATTGCCATTACCAGAATGGCTATCATACAAGGAATCAACATTTGTACCTTTCACAACTGCTTCTGCATTAACTGACATGAAAATATACAAACACTATGAGATGGATTCTCCCAAGTAAAAAGCCCCTCAGATAAGTAGAGGGAAAATGTGAACAGAAAAAGACAGTAACAAGTGAATGGGTTGGATAAAAATAGAAAATGAAATAAGTCTGAGAACAGAATACAACTTACTTTCAGAAGCTCTCAGAGCTGCGGCTGTATCGGTAGTAAAGAGTGGATTTCCACTGCCAGCACCAACACCACCAAATATGACAACTCTTCCTTTCTCAAGATGTCGGATGGCCCGTTGCCTGCAATAGGGTTCAGCAACCTCGGGCAATTCAATTGCACTTTGCACACGTGTCTGAATATACGTCTTCTCCAAAGCTGATTGAAGCAACACAGCATTCATAACTGTTGCCATCATACTGAAAAAAAATAATGGTCAGAATGTGAATGGCACAAAATTTGAAAAGACACAAAATTGGTGTTTCAAATTACAAGTTAAATAGTAATACACAAGAAAATTAAGTTAAAAGACCTCGATCAGGAAAAGAAATTTAAGCAACTATACAGTAGCATTTGAGCAGTTGAGTAACCAGGGCCCAACCTGGAATAGAAATTTGGGAACCCATATAATCTCATAAATCATTTTTCCAATACTGTACAGCAAATTTTGATTATTGAATATTGCATTACAATATAAAACCAAATAAAATTATATTAATAAGGATACAAACTTCGGCTTAGTAAAATCAGAAACAGATTTTCCTTCTCACTGTTTTCCAACCATTTGAACATGGTCAAAGTGATAGCATCTCAACCACAACCAGAAGACTGAGAAAGAAGTTAAAATGCAAATGTAAAGAACATGGGCATTACCCAACTTGGTATGCTGTGGGTCTATCTAAGGCAGTAGCAGATACCCATGAGTCCCCGCAAAAGAAGTTACGACCTCCAACAACAATTGCCACCTAGAAAAATCACATAAGAATAAGTATCCGCATCTCAACTTATTAGAGAGAGAGAGAGAGAGAGAGAGAGAGAGAACTAAAACATGAAAAAAGGTTGTGTTTATGCATTACCTCCACCCCAAGACGACAAGCTGTAGCTACTTCTCCAGCAATCTGCGTCACCACCTGATGGCAGAAAGCAGCAGTTTAGCTAGTATTTCTTGTCAGAACAACCATATAATACAGTGGGATGATACAAGTTGTACATCGGAAAATTTCATCAATCATAACAAATCCAATCACATCAATTTGTATGTATCAGAAAAATCTTGCACCTTGGGGTCAATATTTTGGTGGTTCCCAGCAAATGCAGAACCACTGATTTTAAACACTACCCTCCGCCATTTAAGACTTTGTTGTGGTTTCGGCTTCAGGTTATTCGTGATATTGACACTGCCAGGAGTATTATATCTGCCCAAACAGACATTAAAAATTTGATCAGACAACTATTACCAAAATTTCACAAAATCACACTCGGTAAATCCATTCACTTGGGAGTTAGTCGAGATAAACCCAGCATACACCACTAAAATAAGCAACTCCTTCAAACCAAAGGAACAACCGAAAAATTAAAAATTGAAAAAGCTACAGCAGCATTTGCAACATAATATATATATATACTCTTAAGATGGGCACTATCATCCATCTTGTGTTGCCATTACTGTGCATGTGGCACAACCATAAAAACCATATTGTCTTACGATTGGGTTTCAAGTTTGATGCCAAAAGTTACAAATTCAGTTGGTCCCAAACGAGACAAACCAAAACAAGTTCCCATTGTAACATTCACACATACTAACTCATCAACTTCACAATCTCCAAAGCCAAACACTATACACTAAACTAAAACACAAAATCTTTCCAAAACAATTAAACATTAATACCACTCTTCACATATTAGTCTACTCGAAAATGATTTACACTTGAAACTTTCGAACGTCATTAAAACACCAACTGAATCTTTAAATTTCTTTAAAATCTCACTCGTAATCTCTCAAAAACACCTACAAAAATCTCCAACAAATCTCAAAACCCCCCGAATCCACCAGAATTTCAGCTTAAACACAAAGGAGTTCAGAAAAGATTACGCCTAAACTAACAAGAAGCCAGCATAATATTCGTGTTGCATACAAAAATTAAGTGTACCTCTTCGATTGTTTGATCGATGGAGTAATAGTTTCATCGCCAATGCCACCATTTCTCTCCACCATCCCAACATCACCACTACCACCACCACTCTTGCTCAATAAATTACTGCTATTATTACTCCCCACAATCACTTCCATTTGCTTGAACCAATGCCAACTACTAGTTACACTCCCACTATTATTCATTCTCTGCAGTTCTACTTTGTACCTCTTCTTCAAATTATCTATCTTATTCTTACACTGCTCCACACTCTTCCACGCCTTGGGCTACTTTCTATTCTAATTTATCATACATTGGATACAAGGTTTCCCAACTTCTCATTTGTACAAAGTGACTGGCTCTAAATCGATGCATTACATAATCCAGAAACAGTGTTCTCATTTAGCACTAGATTATTAACACCCGGCTTCAAGCATCTAAAAGACAACATGGTTCCATCTGCATCAACCCATCCTTCCTGTTTGGTCAATCAAAGTTCCCACTGGATCTCCACTTAGTGCTCTTGAAATATTCCCAGACTCGAGTAAATTAAACACTACCACTACAAAAGATTGTGTAGACAATTTAAGGAAACGCCAAAGGGTTTTGATATGCAAGTATCAACGATTACAATGAAAAATAAAGAAATAAAATACCAACCAGGAATTCTGTTCTCTTCACAGTATGTAACAGCCATTGTGTCCATGGAGGTAAAGTTTCCGGACAGTGCCTCCCTGTAGGATAAGTGTTGCAGAGGTACATTGCCATTACCAGAATGGCTATCATACAAGGAATCAACATTTGTACCTTTCACAACTGCTTCTGCATTAACTGACATGAAAATATACAAACACTATGAGATGGATTCTCCCAAGTAAAAAGCCCCTTAGAAAAATAGAGGGAAAATGTGAACAGAAAAAGACGGTAACAAGTGAATGGGTTGGATAAAAATAGAAAATGAAATAAGTCTGAGAACAGAATACAACTTACTTTCAGAAGCTCTCAGAGCTGCGGCTGTATCGGTAGTAAAGAGTGGATTTCCACTGCCAGCACCAACACCACCAAATATGACAACTCTTCCTTTCTCAAGATGTCGGATGGCCCGTTGCCTGCAATAGGGTTCAGCAACCTCGGGCAATTCAATTGCACTTTGCACACGTGTCTGAATATAAGTCTTCTCCAAAGCTGATTGAAGCAACACAGCATTCATAACTGTTGCCATCATACTGAAAAAAAATAATGGTCAGAATGTGAATGGCACAAAATTTGAAAAGACACAAAATTGGTGTTTCAAATTACAAGTTAAATAGTAATACACAAGAAAATTAAGTTAAAAGACCTCGATCAGGAAAAGAAATTTAAGCAACTATACAGTAGCATTTGAGCAGTTGAGTAACCAGGGCCCAACCTGGAATAGAAATTTGGGAACCCATATAATCTCATAAATCATTTTTCCAATACTGTACAGCAAATTTTGATTATTGAATATTGCATTACAATATAAAACCAAATAAAATTATATTAATAAGGATACAAACTTCGGCTTAGTAAAATCAGAAACAGATTTTCCTTCTCACTGTTTTCCAACCATTTGAACATGGTCAAAGTGATAGCATCTCAACCACAACCAGAAGACTGAGAAAGAAGTTAAAATGCAAATGTAAAGAACATGGGCATTACCCAACTTGGTATGCTGTGGGTCTATCTAAGGCAGTAGCAGATACCCATGAGTCCCCGCAAAAGAAGTTACGACCTCCAACAACAATTGCCACCTAGAAAAATCACATAAGAATAAGTATCCGCATCTCAACTTATTAGAGAGAGAGAGAGAGAGAGAGAGAGAGAGAACTAAAACATGAAAAAAGGTTGTGTTTATGCATTACCTCCACCCCAAGACGACAAGCTGTAGCTACTTCTCCAGCAATCTGCGTCACCACCTGATGGCAGAAAGCAGCAGTTTAGCTAGTATTTCTTGTCAGAACAACCATATAATACAGTGGGATGATACAAGTTGTACATCGGAAAATTTCATCAATCATAACAAATCCAATCACATCAATTTGTATGTATCAGAAAAATCTTGCACCTTGGGGTCAATATTTTGGTGGTTCCCAGCAAATGCAGAACCACTGATTTTAAACACTACCCTCCGCCATTTAAGACTTTGTTGTGGTTTCGGCTTCAGGTTATTCGTGATATTGACACTGCCAGGAGTATTATATCTGCCCAAACAGACATTAAAAATTTGATCAGACAACTATTACCAAAATTTCACAAAATCACACTCGGTAAATCCATTCACTTGGGAGTTAGTCGAGATAAACCCAGCATACACCACTAAAATAAGCAACTCCTTCAAACCAAAGGAACAACCGAAAAATTAAAAATTGAAAAAGCTACAGCAGCATTTGCAACATAATATATATATATACTCTTAAGATGGGCACTATCATCCATCTTGTGTTGCCATTACTGTGCATGTGGCACAACCATAAAAACCATATTGTCTTACGATTGGGTTTCAAGTTTGATGCCAAAAGTTACAAATTCAGTTGGTCCCATACGAGACAAACCAAAACAAGTTCCCATTGTAACATTCACACATACTAACTCATCAACTTCACAATCTCCAAAGCCAAACACTATACACTAAACTAAAACACAAAATCTTTCCAAAACAATTAAACATTAATACCACTCTTCACATATTAGTCTACTCGAAAATGATTTACACTTGAAACTTTCGAACGTCATTAAAACACCAACTGAATCTTTAAATTTCTTTAAAATCTCACTCGTAATCTCTCAAAAACACCTACAAAAATCTCCAACAAATCTCAAAACCCCCCGAATCCACCAGAATTTCAGCTTAAACACAAAGGAGTTCAGAAAAGATTACGCCTAAACTAACAAGAAGCCAGCATAATATTCATGTTGCATACAAAAATTAAGTGTACCTCTTCGATTGTTTGATCGATGGAGTAATAGTTTCATCGCCAGTGCTACCATTTCTCTCCACCATCCCAACACCACCACTACCACCACCACTCTTGCTCAATAAATTACTGCTATTATTACTCCCCACAATCACTTCCATTTGTTTGAACCAATGCCAACTACTAGTTACACTCCCACTATTATTCATTCTCTGCAGTTCTACTTTGTACCTCTTCTTCAAATTATCTATCTTATTCTTACACTGCTCCACACTCTTCCACGCCTTGTGCTGTTTCTCAGAACCACCACTTTCTCCGCCGTAACCTCCGCCGCCGCATCTCTCGGTCACAGCCTCCGCCACCTCCTCCCAGTCCCTGCCACGTAGATTCCCCCTGTTCAGCTGGTTGAACTTCTCCGTATACGCGTCCAACAGACACGCGATCGCCGTATCGCTCCATTCCTCTCTGTCCTTTCTATAATCCACACGATAATCCGACCCCGCTTCGTTGTTGCTATTATTTCCAGTCTTTTGCTTCTTGTAATAGTACGGGTTTCGTTTCGATCCGGATGCAGATGCAGATCCAGATCTCTCCGGCTCGGAATCTTCGGCGGTGGCGGTTAGGAGAGGAGGATGGGCGTAGAACTCGGTGTTGGTAGGGACGGGAGACTCGGCCGCTGATTGCGAGAGGCGCGTGGGCGCGTGGGGATCGGAGAGTAGAGGAAAGTCTTGGGAAGCCATTAGAGTTAGGGTTAGGGACGACGACGTTAGGATTGGGGTGACGGAGAGTTTGAGGATGATGACGGAGTGAATGGTTTGGGCCCTTGGGGTGAGAAATTGTTGGAGTTATTAGAGTTATCGTGAAATCGGCCGTCAGAAGTTGTAACGGTTACTTCACAACAGAGAAACGTGTGGTTACAGACTTACACATCTGTTTAAACAGAACAACTAGGGTTTCCCTAAATTAGAAATACAACGTTTGTTATAAGGAAAATGTTTTTTGCAAAACTACGTCGTTTTGTTAATACTAAGACTTTTTGTGATATTTTAAAAAAAAAAAAAATAATAATAATAATATAAAACAGTTAGAAAACAAATAGACAGATCTTAATTGGAATATAATGTCCTGTTTCCCGTTTGGCATTATGAATATTGTGTTTAATGAATTACAGTGCTCCTTTAGTTTTGAGTATATTTTATATTTCATGATAACGAGCTTGAAGTTCTTTCTAGATTAACTTTTATAAACCATCAAAATAATACAAATCCATTTGAAAATTGTAAAAGAATTTCATAGTGCTAGGAGAGTTTCTCTAATTAAACTAATCTTAATCGATTAAGATTCAATATGATGTCAACACTTTAATCTTAAAGTTAATGAATCTGTGTAACTAAACACGATACCAACCTGAAGATGAAGAATTGAAGGTGAGAACAATGGTTAAGACTTAAGACATCAATTCAATGGCCTGGACCACCAGATACAGCATGCCTCAAATTAATTCAATCCACAATCGTAAAACTCTAATAGAATTGAACAAAAAAATAGGCAATTCGCTCACAATTAAGTGATTTTCATAAATTGGCTGTTTCTGACTGTCAAGGGCCATAAAAGTTCATTTAATAGTTATGTGAACCAGAAAGCGATTCGAAAACTTCAAGCCCTGTGACTGCTGAGAAGTGAGAACTATTCTTAGGTACAAAAAGGATGAAAGAAAAAGCAAAACACATTGCGGTAGACTTCATTGCCCCATTAACTAAACTGATTTTCACATTGACATAGTAAACTGTAATCCCTCGTTATACTGCATTTTCGTTTTACCCAAGTCAACAACTACATTATGCTGAATGATAGTGATCATCATCAGCTGGAGTGTCATCGTTGTCATCGGATGAATCCTTTTTGGCTGCCTGCTCCTTCCTCTCCTTCCACCTTGCCCATACCCACCTCAGAACAAGAAACCCTCCAAGAGCATAAACCTGAAAGAAGATCAAGGAATTTGGTTAATCACAGATCCCAAGTAGGAGAATTGAAACGAGAAGCACAATAATACAGCTTCTAAGAGATTATTTTGCATGGGAACATAGGCATGATAACGGCACTGGCAGTATGGGCCAATCACAAAACTATTTGCACAAAGAGTTTTCTCAATCCAACAGAAAAAAGATGACACAGAGAAAGTATTATGACAAATTTACAATTTCGTGAAGAATTAGTATCCCTTGGACATTATTAAGAAATTGCTATCTTCTAATGTTAGTTCCGTTCCTTCTTTATTTCCCTCTATATTGAATATTCTGAACCTTGGATTTAAAAAAAAAAAAAAAAAGAAAAAAGAAAATCCTAATTGGATTATCTTTCGAAAACTCCTATCCACCAACGAGGATAAGCCATTAAGGCTTCATCCAACTATCCAAGCAACTTAGTCATTTTGCAATTTAGATAGTTTGTAGCTTACTGGACTGCTACTATAGGGCTTTCCAACAAGAAATCCAAACATTTATATTTAAAGCTAAGAAGAATAGCTCAAAACCCAGATGACAAAAGAATATTCTCCACCCATTTTAAGAAGCACCCAACAACAGTCACATAATATGCTGCCCCTTGTGCTAATAACAAAATCTACTTGGAATTCAATTTTAAATGACATATAAAAGTTGAAAATCTTATTAGAGTTGCACCTGAAGACAGCAATCACTTTACACAGCTAACCCAGTCTTCTAGGAAGCAACCAAGCCAATGGCATGCCTCCCAGCATCGAAACTGGCAAAAGGTAACCACATCCAAAACTGTTTGCTGAAAATATTTATTTCATTCATTCGGCTACGGATTTTATACTTGAAAATTATTTATTCATTCACCTAGGTATGGAAGCATCTACAGCAGTACCCAAATTCTCACACCATATAGTTATTCAAGTGAAGCTTGGGCATATAAGATTTATCAGCCCTATCACTGCATTGTCTTAACCATCCTATTAACACTATTTGTAATAGACTACCAATTAGATATTAGGTAAAACAGTAAAGTTAAGATGAGATAAATTAAGAAAAAACAGTACCAATGACATTTGTACACAAGAATCTGCCCCTCGCCAAACATCATTCAAGACTTCATCCTTACCTACCTAACGTAAAATAACTCTTGTTTGATAGCTTGTTTTGTGGCCTTTCCCAGTTCAAATAACTCTTTGGAAAATCCAAGCTAGTAGAATTATGATCTTGGCATTGTGTTAAGATCTTGAAATAAGAGAAATCAACCCAATAAAAGATAAAGGAAAAAGAATTTCCCCTTCTATGTTTTTCATTCTCTAGTAAAGAAACCATCACAAAACTCTATGACCGTGACTGAACTAATTCCAAGGTTTTAGCAAAAACCTCATAACATTATACCACCGATAACCCTCCTTTTCCCATTTTACAAACAAGATCCAGACCTAACACCCATCCCCATTTCTTACCTACTTCGCCCACCTCCAAACATAAAATAAATCTTCTAGCAATATTTCTTCTACTCAACCAACTACAACGATGACTGTCTCATGGTTTCGTTAACCCGTTAACCTAAATGGTGTACTCTTGACTACAATTTTCTTCCCATCATCAAGCACAACATAATATATCTCTCAATCTTTCAAATAAATAAGCCAAAACGTTTTAAGCATTCATCATTTCACATAAATTTATTAATATTCAAAGAAAAATCTAGCAATAACTTCAACTCCAGAAAATTAAATAATTTCTCCAAATAAAGAAATCAACGATTATTCTTCCATCTTTCTGTTTTAACTAATAAACATTCAGACATTGAACAAAAGAATCCTAAAACATAAAAATCTCCTATCCAGCACTTCGTTTCCTCCATTTTCTTTGGAACCAACCAGATATTATAAAAGAAAACAAACCTGCCAGAGAACGACAGGGTTGGAAGTCCTTCCGGCCGGCTCTTCTGCCTCGAACTCCAACCGTGCCGGAATTATCTGACGCGCAGAGTCCGGAAACCTCACCAAGCTCGGCTTCACACTTACGTTTTCACTTTCTACACTCGTTTTCTGACCCTCCTTAACACCAACTGACTCTACTTGTTTCGGTTGCTTGTTAAGGAAAGGAAGCTTGAGCTCAAATTTTGGAAACAGTGAGAGTATGTTTTTCGATTCTTGTTTTTTGGTAGCATTATCGGCGTTTTCAGCCATTACGACTTGGAGAGAGACTGAAATTCAGCTCAATTTTGTTTTCAATTTTTAAAAGCAGCGGAAAAGCCGTGTCATATTGTCACGTCTTTTAGTTTTTCTCCGGTTTGTTATTCCCGTTTCTCTACGGTTCGCGTTACTACTGTTTTACAGCTAATTTCTCATTATTTTTAGACACGTGTACACCACTATTTTTATGAAGATATTATTCTCATTTATGCTTTCTATATTAATTTTTTAAATAAATTTGTATATTATAATATTACTGTAAAATTTAAAATTTTATAAATTTTTTTCATGATAAATTATTCTTATTAAGTTTTCCTATCTAATTTTTGGTCGTTGTTATTGTATCTAAACATTTTAAATAAATTAAAAACAAGAACATCAGTGAAAAGATTAACGTTCTACAATATCATCAAAACATTTTTATGCATTATGAAACGACTTTACGTTACAGGAGAAAGAGAACATACCAGCCATTGAGCTGCAGGATTGCTGTAATCTTCGACTTCAAGCTTCAAAGGCGGAGGAATTACAGGTTTAGGATCAGAAAATTTCACCACGTCTTGTTTCTGATTTGTATTAGCTTCTTCCTTAGAATGAACCGGTACCGTTTCTGACTCACTTAGTGAAATCACATCCGGTTTAGTTTCTCGGTTGAAGGGAGGGAAGTTTAGGCGGAAGTCTGTAAAGAGTGAGAGTAAATTTTTGCTACCGCTTTGGTTTTCGTTTTTGGTGATGATTTTGGTGTAACTTTCAGCCATGGATAACAAGCTTGATTGGTTTGGAGTGGATTTAGGCAGTGTGTTTTAGGCTTTTAGCGGTGAAGTTTCAAGCTTCAAAGTTGTTTATATGTTGGTGATTGTTTTGTTAGGCTTCCTGAAACTACTAGTCCACGTTCTGGAATGTTTTGGGATTAGCGTGCACTTTGTTGGGTTTGGGCCCAGCCAAATGCTAATCCGAACGAGGGTTAATGTAGAAAAAAAAAAAAAAAAAAAAAAAATCATAAATAAGCCATTTTTAAAACGTAAAATTTATAATATATACTTTTACTTACATCGTTATAATGTAATTATAGTAAATGCTATCCAACGAGGACTAAATTTCATAAAATAAGCTAACATGTATATCCTAAACTCATGACGTAAAACTTATTACCAAAACTTAAAATTTATAATATTTTATATGAATTATCATAGTCACAGCCGAATAATATTTATTACATCATTCAATAAATTCAAATAGTATATAATTTTGCTCAATAAATTTTATAACTTGAGTGACCAAACATTTTATTCATTCAAGTCTGATCTGAAAACTTAATATAATATATTATATGCTAATTTTATTTTATAATATAATATAAGAATTTAAGTAATTTTTTTATTCAAGTAAAATTTTGACAAGTTTGTCTCTTAATGCACCCATTTAAGGCAATGAAGGATTTTATATTATTTTCAGAGTGGTGTTTGTTTAAGCCTATCAAATGTCTTTATCAGCCTCGTAATTAATTTAATCGTTTAAAAAATTAATTGATAATTATATTATATGCTATTCAAAATTACGTAGCCATAAAATGTTTCCTTTTCTAAAACGTTCCCATGTGTTCTGGAAGAAATCTCTTTCATAATGGCATAATTTTTTTTTCTAGTTTTTTGGGTACTACTATTTATCAAACAACTAAAAATAATAAAATTATTGAAAAAAAAAAAAAACAGCGAACTAATACACGTTGCATGAAATATGAGTAGGACTTTCAAAAAAAAATTCAGAGATTTAAAATTGGAGAATAAAAATATAATATAATTTTAAATTATTTCTTTTAATGAATTTAATTATTAATGGATAAGGCTTAAAATAACACCACTCTCATTTACAGTCCAGGTTTGAGCCTAAACATCAAGCCCAATCGTACGTCTAAGGCTAAGCCTAACTAAATCCGATAGCAAAATAAAAAATTAAATTCCGTATCATATAAAACAAAAAATTATTACCTATGATTTAAGGTAATATAACAAGTATGCGAGAGAGAACTTTTCTCTTGCCTTTACAACTTTCTTTACTTGTACTCAATAAACATTGAAGAGCATATCCAGATAAAAACATGAGAAATTAATCATACTTTTTTACGGAAATTAGATAAAATAACCATATGAGGGGTATTAAAGGAAATTAACCAACTCCCAATTTACTTTAACACCTAATATGGTTATTTTTAAAATAAAGTTGATGCGGGTAATAATTGATTGGCATTTGGCACTTGGCATTTTAATAGAAAGTCACCCTACCTACCTAACCCAATGTTCCAACTTCCAACAAACCAGCGATTTTTGTGTTGTTTTCATGTATACTGAATCTTCTGTACTACATTTTCATGGAATAAGTTAAAGTTGGCATAAAAGGATTACGGCTGAACATGCAGCCACCCATAGTTTGTCATAAAGATAATTTTTTACCCATAGAGTTTGAAAATGACACAAATTGTCTTTACGGACAAAGAATGCGTGAGAAATGTCGTCCAAAGGATTACTGGCTAAACACATAATATTCTATTCTTACCTAATACCGAGTATTCTTACCCAATACCGAGTACCAACCAAACCTTAGATTTTCAGGTGCCAACTTAAAAATATCATCTTCATACTTCATTATAATCAAAATGTTATTTTTTAAATGTGAAGATATTATATGAAGTAATTTCTCGTATTGTTATATTGCTAATTTTAATTTTCGAATTTTTGTTTAGAAGATAAAAATATCTATTGTTGATGCTCGATTTTGACACCAACTACTCGCACGTGTAAAATGCTAAGCGGACTTAGAAATCACACATATGTGAGAATATTAAGTTAAATAAAGGGTGAGAGGCAATGTTTAAAGTGGTTCGGATGCTCAAAAGTAAATCCTACGTTCACTGCTATTGTATTAACAAGAGGATAAATGTCAGGTCGTGTTTAGCAAACTGAGCTACTGTTTAGAGAGAATACAAGAGAGAGAGAGAGAGAGAGAGAGAGAAATAAGCTATTTTAGAGCAAAATTAGCCAATCCCGCAAATGAGAGGGAATACCTCTATTTATAGTGGGAGAAACCAAGATAATGATTGCTAAAACAGCAAGTGGGTGGGTACCGTGCAAATCCTTCTCTACGTCCCATTGTTCACCTGTTCGAGGGATTTCCTCGACTTATGCAGTGTTTGGACATGTGGACGATTTCCAACCACCTGCTAGCCTGGCACTCACCCACTACACTGACATGGGCGTGCCACTTGCGCCATTACGCGACGTGGCTATGTTTGGAAGGTCACAATCCTTCCCAAGTTCTGACCATCCCATGCTGACAAGGCTCCACGTCAGCCATACCTTTTCTAGCATAACAGAAGTCCCCTAATTTTTAAGGTTTGAGGATCGAACCTTGAGAACTTCATAATTATACCTCGATTTGACATGTCCCAAATGATGCCTGGCCGAACCGACCTGGCTACAAGGAGGTCGCAGTACACACCTCTATGAGTGACCTGAGATGGTCTTCTTCTGCAAAGTCAGCGACCTAGATTAGACCTTACTCAACGCTGTACCAATGTGCTTCGTACCTCGACCTAGGTCCGCGACCTGATAGAACTTGGTGCATTTCTATTGAAGACAAGGGATCACCTCATTTCGTATTCGACATGCGACGAAGAGTGTTCTATTCTAACGACCTCTTCAAGTGTTATCTGTTGCGCTAGACAGCTAACCTATTAATAAAACAACCTTTATTCTGATAGACGTGTCCTGTGCACAATAAATGTCAGTCATGCACATTAAATGCAAGTCATACTGAAAAGACATTCCCTATCAGGGCATTAAATGCGGATGAGGGCGCATTTAATGTGGAGGAGGGAATTGAGCCGTCACTCGTTTATTTCAATGGAGGGAAGAGACGATTGAATTTCTTGAAGCATGGCGGTTACTCCTTCTCACCGATTGATGACACGTGGTCGCGACCAACGGCGAGAGATGTATTCCGCCCAAACGTCGCTTGGCTTCCGGAAAACCAACCGCCATTTCTCCCACTACAAAACCCCAGGCTCGCCTTAAGCAATGTCACAACACTCACTCTTTCAGAAAAAGCAAGAAACTCTCGTAAGACCAGATTTTCCATCTTTCAAGTTGGTGCGCATTTGATGTTCATAGCAGGAAGTTCAATCCCTACATCCAAGAGGTAAGGAAGATCCTTCCATTACTTTTCTTTTTCTTTGTAAGCAATAGGTTTCTTTTAGGGCATGAATCTTTAGGGGTGGTCCCCACAGATTTTTAGGGTTTTTCTAGGGTTTAAGGAAGACACATTGTGGTTTTCTGTTCTTCCACGTCATTGTACGAAACTTTGTATGAAGACTGAGTGACCATAGAAGAGATGAACCCTTTAGCGACCAGAACAAACGAGGGGACGAGCTTGTCGGCGCAGGACGCCTCAGTGGGTCCCTCACAAGAAATTCTGTTGGTGGCCACCCGAGAGGAAATACAGAAGGCAGTAGACCAATACGCACTTAGCGTAGATGTCTATCAGTACATTTCGCATTCAGCTCAGAATCCGCCAGAGGGAATGGCTGCGATCTCCGAGAATATATTCAAATGCGGAGCGCTGATTCCCTTTCATCACTTTATTAGGTCGATCCTTGATCATTTCGGGGTCGCGCCTTTACAGTTGATGCCCAACACGTATATGATAGCCGTGGCTATGTATATCGCGTGTGGCGAGAGAAGTCTCGGCCAGTTGACGGCGCTAGAGCTCGCTTGCTTGTATTATTTGAAAAAAAGCAAGGACAAAGATTCTTATTACCTCTCAAGGCGATCCACGATCGAGGGAGGCATATTCAATTACCCCAGTAATGTCAAGGCATATGAGACGAAGTTTTTCTTTTTCCATTACGATGACATTTGCCACTTTAGGGAGCCGAGTAAGTCTTCCCTTCTTTTACTTGGTGAATTTTTCTTTTCTTTTAATCTTTGCTAACGAACTCTTCCGTTTCTTCGCAGGAAACAAGATGACCAGGTTGACGGCTCTCACTGACTTTAATCAAATAATGGCATTTGGTCACCTACC